ATAGCATTTGCCTTCTTTATTGCAGTCACACACTGTCTCGACATTTTCAGTGAGTTATCTACTACAACTCCAAGATCTCTCTCTTGATCAGTCTCTGCCAGTTCAGACCCCATCAATGTGTATTTATATTTAGGATTTTTGGCTCCAATGTGCATCACCTTGCACTTGGCCACATTGAACCTCATTTGCCATGTTGACGCCCACTTGCCCATCCTTGACAGATCCCTTTGGAGTGCCTCACAATCCTCACTGGTTTTCAGCTTGCAGCTACTGAGTGCCTCCCACATAGCTGATGTAAATGTTCTGTGGTACCACTCAAAGAAGATACTATTGTATATTGTAAAACCAGTGTGCTTTAAGAGTCAACAGTATTCACATGCCCCTACTAATTGACTCCTTGTTGACATTAGGTTTAAGGTTCTTATGTGCGACATTCAGTATATATAGTTCTGAGTCAAGAATTCAAACTAACAAGCATGCTCCCTCAGCCCTGCCTACTATAATAAGAACTACTGTTAAATAAATTAAAGATAGTCAAAACCAGCAAGCTTCTAGGAATATAATAAAATATTTTTATTTGATTAAAAAATATTTGTAGAATTTAGACAGAAGTTCATACCCACAACAGTACCATTTGCACATTTCATATTCAGTTCTACGGCCTTTTCTAATCTGAAAGGTACTTCATTAGTATAATACTTGTTTTTCATAGGCACAACACAAGAGGTCTTCATACCATTTCTAGGCTTACATTAACTAAACTAGATTACTACAGTATAGCATGATCATGTGAACTTATAAGGCAGTTCTAAGGCAAGGCAGTCATCATGAGATGTCTGCCTTTAAGTAATAGCACTGTTTTATAGTCTGAGCTTTTATTGTTATTTCTAATTCCCCCACAGGAGAAAGACAAGGCAAGGAAGAAATATTCTTTACCACTGGATTAAAGGTTCAATCTCTGCTTTTGGTCACCCAACCCTCATTTCCCTGAGTTTATGAGTGGATGGAGGTTCTTACCCTTCCCTATTATTAATGTTTTTGGGTTTTTCTTCAGAAGATATTAAAGGTGCATTCAACACTTAGCTTCTTGCCTCAAGGACCTTATAGATACCATGATTTAGATGGAGGGTGATATTTTGGCTCGGTCCAAGATACATTGAAGCCTTCTATCAACTTGTAACCTGGAAGTTAGTGCCCATTGAACATCACTACAAAGCAATTACACAAATCATTATGTGAAGGGAGTTGTGCAAATCTCTCCTGAGAATGCTCCGTTCTGAATCTTCAAAACCTTTGCCTCAGTCCAAGGACAGATTCTAAATTAAAATCCAGTTTGCAGCTGTACTTTGGCAGATGTTTAGTACAATTATGTCTGAGCTAAAGCTCACAAATGCATACCAGACTTGTACCTGCAAATCTAGCAATTATCACAATTAAAACTGTACCCACATAAAAGTTTACTGACATAACTCTGCATGCTCTGATCAATGGTCACTATAGCCTCCCCCTTCTTCCTATTTTCTTCATATGATGGCATTTAGCAAGGAGACCATTAAATAAGCAAATACCATCCCCCACTATGAACAGGTTCCATAATAAGAGGTTCCACACACCTATACCACTGCTTGAGCATACACCAGGCAGCACCTGGGTAGTCACTCCCTAAAATTCATTCACACAGCTGAATACATGTTCACAATCACATGTGGATTTCACCGACATAGAAGTGCTTTTTGTGCAAAAGCAGGGCAACATATGAAGTGATCCTATAGTGTGGCCAGGTCTAAAAACCTCAGCAGCTAGCCAAGAACACCACACAGACCCCAGGTAAGTTGTCAATATCTGGAGACCAGAAGAACTTGTCATGACATATTCAACTGTCTAACTTGCAAGCTTATAGAGAATAAATGTGGCCAAAGTAACTAAAATGGAGCGGAAGCAAACATGTTTTAGCAGCAGCATCCCCCTTTCCAAGCTGTCTACAAACACAAACTATGCAAACAGCCCTTTGTGTGTGAAACCCCTGCCATACAAAGGAGGGATAGACAAAGGGATAGACAAAGTGTTAAGGCTACAGTTAAAAAACCATCTAGTCCTTTTTCAGGAGAAAAAGGCTACAAGTGGCTTGAAGCATCTAGGGAAGCCTCAAGGAGTTCAGACTAAACCAACAAACAAAAATCACTCCCAGCTACCTAGTTTACTGAGGAGAAACTAAACATGACCATCATGTGGGTCATCGTCCCCATCCAGTGTTGTCAAATATAAGAAGCAGATTTCGTCTGAACATGTTACACAAAACAATATTGCTGTCAGTTTATTCTCTGAGTCAGTGTGAAACTTGCTGTCAACAGATGAAAATTAAGACTTTAGAGATGGAGTCCTGACTCTGAGGAGCTGAAATGAGGGCAAGTCAAGTCAACCTGGAAACTTTGGTTATCAAGCCAAGCCTGAACACAATTTTGCTTTTTGTGCTCCCTATGCCCCATCCTGTGCAAATTAAAATGTACTAGGAATGTTACAAGGTCACTAGGTTAATGGCTGTATTTCAGCTTGATAGACAAAGGGTAACCAAAAGAAAGGTAAACCTTTAAACAGGCAGCAAAACTCAGACAACACAGGACATCACAATGTGAAAAATGTTTGTGCGTATATATGGTAAATATATCTAGTCTTAATAAAATTTGCTTCTACCAGCTCTGAACAGTTCTTTCCACTTTTTTTCCACTTTCCACCAGCCTTCCCGCTTTAGTTCCAAACCTGCTGAAAGGACCCCTCTGATTCCACCTTGTGGCCCCAACAGATTTATACTGCTGCTACCAATTTCATTGTTTATTGTTTTTATGATTTTAATGTGGCTTTATCGTAATGAGTCTTTGACTCGATTTGTTGTGATCCGCCCTGAGCCTGTTTGGGGAGGGTGGAATACAAATCCCAAAAATAAATAAATAAAAAATCTCTAACCTTAACTAACAAGAATCTTTTTGCAACTCTTCGCTATCAACCCACAGTCTTGGTGCATCCAAGATCGTGCCTACCAGTTTCATGGATTCAACATGGACTGGGCGAGTTAAACACATCCACTTTCCAAGGCTCACATCGTGGCTAGCAGATCTCAGGAGGCAAGAGGACAACCAACAGTACTTTGGATTGCTCAGATATGTAGCCCTGACCACCCAAGTTTTGTTTGAGGACGGTGTTATATATAACCATTCTTACATGAGATATTATAAAAAGACATTCTTCTTCTAGATTGCACCATTCATATAGTACGACTATAGGTCAAGTACAATTCAGGTAACAGCATTTGAATACAATAATAAATAGAAACCAACATATTTAAAACACAGCCCCCTTCCTTCGTTGCAACACAGATGCAAAGTCCATATTCTGCATTCTAAGCGATGCTTGCCACAGCTTCATCTGTCTCCTCTTCTTGTCTCCGGTAATTCCTGATAATATTGCACGTGCCACTGATCAAGAACACAGCTGAGATGACAGCAAAGTAACCAGCATAGATCATGAACTGCATCAAAAAGTGGGTGGGGGAAGAGAATAATAGTAAGCTGACATTAAAAAAACTGAACCTCTCACAGGGCCCTAGCATTAAGGGTGAGGTAGGAATACCAAAAATGTTTGGGGTACCACTCAAGGGCAGCAAGGTAAGTGCTATTTGGATTTTATACCTCAGACACCAAAGCATCCTCAATAGTCTCTGACCACATGTTATTAGGGCAGGATTTTTCAAGTTATGTTTGTGCTATGTTTAAACCGTTGTCTATGTTTAGTCAGCACATTGATTAAACAAGTTTTAATAGAAAAAAATCTTCAATGTATTCAGTAGCAAGTAGCATCTCTGTATTTTTGTTGCTTGCCTGGCTAAGGAACAGCTCAGGGCCCTATCAGATCTGACTGCAAGAGGTCTCACAGTTGGCTCTACAATGGTTCCTTAAATGCTAATAGCAGCAGGGAGAGTGGGAGAGAGAGAGATCCAGATTAGAGGGGGAGTGGATCCTTACCTTTATATGCCACCCCCACACACTGCTATTGGCCTCACATATCATTTATTATTTATTTATTCGATTTCTATCCTGCCCCTCCTGCAAGCAGACTCAGGGCAGGATACAAACTCACATAAAAATTATGACTAAAATAACAATAAATGGAAATTTAATAATAAAATTCACATTAAAATCAACCATACAGCAAACCAGAGCAAGCTTGCTTTGATAACAAGCTCGGATGGAAGCATTTCAGAGTGCCGCAGCTGGATAGCTCACCAGATTAAGAAAATCAGCACTGTCAGCAGGGGAGGCCAAGACAGATGTGGACATCTGATGCCTCAACCAAAAGCCCAGTGGAACAGCTCCATTTTACAGACCCCTGCGGAATTGTAACAGATCCCCTCAGGGCCATAATCTCAAATGGGAGTTTGTTCCACCAGGCAGGGGCCAAGGCCGAAAAAGCCCTGACCCTGGCTGAGACTAATCGGACGTCCTTTGGGCTGGGGACACCTAAAAGATGTTGATCACTGGAGTGTAGAGCTCTGCGGGGTCCTGAAGATATGCTGTTCCCTGGCCACATAGGGCTTTGAAGGTTAGCATCAAAATCTTGAACAGGACCCAGTACTCGGCAGCCAGTGCAGTTGGCGCAACATGGGCTGAATGCGCTCCCGCAGAGACGTCACTTTCTGTTGCGTACTGCACTACCTACAGTTTCCAGCTCAAGTACGAGGGTAGCCCCATGTAGAGCGAGTTACAGTAATCCAGTCTGAAAGTGACCATAGCATGGGTCACTGTAGCCAAATCCTGAGAAGGTGATAAAAGGCCGACTGAGCAGTGGTGGCAACCTGGGCCTCTATACGAAGGGATGCATCCGGGACCACCCCTAAACTCTTCACCCTCAGCGACGGCAACAACAGTGTCCCGTCAAGGATTGAGAGTTGGATTCCCAATCCCAGATTCCCACGGTTTAGGTACAGGACCTCCATCGTTGTTGGATTTAGCTTCAGTCAACTCTGTTGAAACCATCCAGTCATGGCCTGTAATGCCCTGTTCAATACCTCCAGAGCAGAGTCCGACCGGCCAGCCATCAACAGATACCTATTTGTTTCCCTCTAGCGGGCAATTTAAATGAGGTAAATAATGTACAGGGAAAGGGTTAAGAACTCTTCATTCCCACACCAAGGCCCCCACCCAGATTCCTGCCTCACTGTTTTTTACATTTAAAGGGTGGGGGAGAATGAGATCACATATCATCCTATATCATGGGTAATGTAGCAATCAGTCTCTTTAAGCATTTCTAGTGTCCATGAGGAACATGGTTGGGAAAAATACCTCTCCCCAGTGTAAACCAAGGGAAAGGCATTATTCACTTGCCAAAAGTATTACGTTGGGACCAGAATGAGCTTCTCACACCCAGTGCTGAAACAGGCAGAAGTCTTTACCAGGAAAACTGAGCATCCTCCCTCCCAATAAAGATAAAGCACGAGCCTTACCTGTGTAAATATGTCCAGCCCCAGACCTTTCGAATCGACAACAATGAACGTGAGCAGAGTCTGCAGCACCAGGGCAATGAAAGTATTGATACCGAATACCAGGGCATAGCGCTCAACACTTAAATTTGTAGCAATCTGGAACCTTCACAGGAAAGGACAAAAATACACAGCTTGAGAGAACAGAAAGGGCGAGACCCCAGACCTCTATTTAGAGTCAGCAACACAGGTATACCTCCAAATTATTTCCCAGATAATACAGGGCCAAACTAGACAGCAATGGCAGCAATTTCATATGTTTAAGAAGAACGAAACAGGGAGGGGGCTGAAATCTGATGTCATAAAAGAGGTTGTGAATAAGGGGAGCCTAATCCGATCACTCCCTGCAGTCTCTCTCCCCGCCCTCCCCCAGCTTGTCTCTCAACCAGGCCCCTGAACACTGGAACCCCAGCTGGACAAAAGTGCCTGTAGGGGGGCTGCAGGCAGGCAAATAAGGGAAGGGTCCAACATTCCTCATCTAGAGCACTTTAGTTAATAACTTGTAAATAATGTTTTTGTACTGTTGGGATTTTAAATGGTTTTAAATATGTTTTATACTGGTGTTTGCCTCCATGTAAGCCGCACTGAGCCCGCATTGCGAGGAGGGCGGGGTATAAATTGAATAAAATAAATAAATAAAATAATAAGGGTTGCTTTTGCTTTTAACATTGGACACAAATGCCCCCACCCCTTTTTTGTGTGAATGGGTCAGTTCCATTTGTAAACACTCAAATCTGCTGCAGGGGCATCTAGTTTGACAGTTAAAGATTTCTGTGTGGTTTTATTGTACAACCCACACATTAACTACACTGTTGACATTTCTCAGCCAAAGGGATATTCAAGGCAGTTTTACTGGTTGCACTATCCCAGCTCAGTAACCTTGAGCATGCCCTTGTGCTCATCTCTGTTTCCGGTTAGAACGGCAGTAGTGACCTACTTTGGTGTTGGGAGATTTTTATTTATTTACGTCATTTATTTACATCATTTATAATCAGTCTGTCTCACTTGGACTCAAGGTAGATTACACAGACTGCAAACTGGATGTAGAAATATCACCAACCCTGAGCGTTTAGGCTAAGCTGTATTTGGTTTAAAAACGAATGGAGGGAAAGGAGAAAATGAAGATACAGAACTACAAGGCTGAGGCACGTGAACTAATCAAACTTGAACATAACTGAGAAGAGGCAAATGGTTATTTATCCTAATAAAATTCAGCAGTGCAGCAGTAGCTGCAACCTATTACTGGGTAGCAGAGGGGAGTGCAACAGCATCAAATTGCAAAACACATGGAGCCCAATCCCATACACGTTTACCCTGAAGTTAACTCCCAGTGGGCTCAACAAGATTCACTCCCAGTAAGCATGTGAAGGACTGTGGCAAATGACTGACATGGGGACATGTTCTCTAACTGCAAGGACAGTGAGGCAGTAGAAGAAATGATCCAGGCAGAAAAACCTTCCCTACAGTTTCACAGAAACCAGCTCAGTCCAGTGTACTCATTTAACCACTTCGAAGCAAAAAGCACTTGTCCCAGTCTAACAGTGAAGTTGCTTGTTGAAAGGCAAATGAGTAACAGCCGCTTGAGAATACCAGTTGGACCCACAGCAATCTAAAGATTAGAGCTGCTGGCACCTTGTGTCCTTTCTGTTCTTATAAGTGCACCTTCTGCGACCTTCTACGTTCCATACTTGCCCATTCATAGCAAACCTGGACATTGCCCAAGATAGTCATGTGCTTCTCTGAACAGCTATTGTGTTACACTGCAAGGTGAATGGTATTACAGAAGTCAGCTACACAGCTTGTATGGGAGTCAGTATTTTCCCATCACACTCTTTTCGTATGTGACCCAAACCAATAGGTTTGGAAGACAGCTGACATGGAACTTGTAACACAAATGGTTTGTTTTCATCCTGCCACTGACTTATTGGCTTCACACCCAAGGGCACAGAAGATGGTGGGAGCTACAAAGTACGAATTAACTATAAACAGTAGCAGCACATATTAGAGTGCAGACACTTTCCTCCAACAGTTAAAAGGGATGTTAAAAAAGGTGAATGTGGATATGCGGATTAAGTTTGTTTATTTGTTATGCTCAGGGGTCTTGTTGTAGAAAAAGAGCTGCCGGAGCTCATTAGCATAACTCATTAGCATAACTTATTTGCATATGCCACACCCCCTGACATCACCGGAAGTGTGTCAGAAGGCCCGGCTACTTACCCTCCTGCTTCATCCTCATTCCCAAACGGAATGAGGATCGAAGCAGAGGGCGGGGTAAAGAAGGGGGCGGGGCTTCACCACGTGACCGCCCCGCCCCCTAGAGGTTCTCTTCCGGAGCTCCGTACCTGAGAGCTCCCCCCCGACTAGAGCCCTGGTTATGCTTATTTTTATTTATACCTGGGGGGGGGGCAAAGCAGCTTATAACATTGTTCTGCCCACCCCCATTTTATATAAGGTCCTTTGTAGCTGTATATGCAAAGTTAACATAGTAAGATAGCATTTGCCCTGGCACCCTCAGTGCATATAAGGCATGGTGATAACAGGCTTTTGTCTTTACAAGATTTCTTGCATCATACTGAAAGTCAGGCCTAAGGAGACACAAGCTCTCAGTCATCCTAGCTTAGGTTACAAAGTTCTGATTTCACCCTGCATTCATAAGGTTTAGCTGTGCTCCAGTCAACCAGACACGTACCTGTATGAAGCACTGTGGCCATTCACCAGAAATTTATGAATCTAAGTATGCCTCATGACTGCCAGATGAGCAAGTAAAGGAAGTGGCTTCAGTCCAAAAGAATAAAAGGCAACACAACTTTGTGCCAAACCTACTCTAAGTAAATATCTAGTATTTAAATTCAGTATTAAATATTTTCATTTAAAGGACCATGATAAAATATTAGTGTTGGTTATACTTAAATACATTGTTACAAAACTAAGAGAACTATCCCAGGAAATAGCCAATCCTGAACTCGTCTTTTTTATAAATCTTCCCTATGCTAGCCTGTGGCTCTTTTATGGAAACCTTTAGAGAACAGGCATGGCGCACATGCTCCTAAAGCCAATTTCATTACAATTGTCCAAGTTTGTTTGAAAGCACTTACGTTGCAATAGTGATGAGCAGCATATAGATAATCCGGAATATTACGTAGGAAGCATAGCACACCCAGATGTTTCGGACTGTGTCCATGACATAAACAGAAGCAGCAATGAAGAGGGAGAACAATGCTAAGGCTATCTCACCCCAAGTAGCCCAAGATGTTTTTATGTGTCCCACCACAAAGACAGCCACAGCTCCTATAAACACAAGGACCAAAAAAAAAAAAAAAGGTTAGTCTAAAAATTCTTCTGCTCAAGCACATATATTTTGGACATTTTTTAGAAAGCATCTGTTAACATCAAAGATCTGGATAGAGAATATCATGAGTAATTTTGATAAATGTTCCATCATATACTTTGGAAATTTTATAGAGTTCAGATGGAGCATAAAGAGGCATATAAGCAGTGTTGTCCCAAACCCTAAATTAATATTGCCAGGACAGGAATGCTAATGTTTATATGGTTAAGTATTTTGCAAGTTATTTTCTAATTATCTAAAATAATCAAAGGGATCTCAGCATGCACGAGGGAAAATTTTTGCTCTCTCCATCCAATTTGACCATTTATATAAACATCTGTAATAACATGAAGCAAGCAACATTCTGCAATGCACGTTCTTTTCTCCTGCATAAATCTCCATCTACACTGACTGCAATGAAAGGCAGGAATGAACACATCCCAGGGAGGAGGGAGCACAGCATTCAAGGAGGAACCCTGGGGACATCAGCTTTTCTGTTGAAGACTACCAAGCTAGAAGGGTACATCTCTTCCATGGCATGCTTGGGAGCAATTTTTTTAATGGCTTGTGTTTTTTTACTGTGGTCGTTAATTGTAATTCGTCCCAAGCAAGACTCTGAAGAGGGGAAGGACAAAAAGATTCATTTTTCTAGGAGGAATACATTTTTCACAGCTTAAAAGTCCAATCAGTTCTGTACAATAGGGGTCCTTTTAGGTTACCCTCTGAAGTGGTGGTTAAGCCGATTAAACATGAGTGGGAGAAAAACATTAAGTCTGTGATTCAAAAAAACATTCGCTTTACAAACAAATTGCCACTAGCACCCTGCAATCCTGATACAGAAAATACATAATGATACACAATTAGCACGTTAACCACAGGAGATTCATATCAACAAGTCTCCAAGATCCTTTTTAAAAAACATCCAGGAAGTCATTCCTTTGCTTGTTTAAACTGTGACTTTAAAAGTTGCCTTTGTTGTTTCTATAAAGTTTCTGTCAAGTTGTCGCCTCATGGAGAATTCAGCCAAAAGATTAAGACTGTATCTAGGTGCTAGACAAATTCAGACCAGTTTTTGAATTTTGCTCTCTTAAATACCTGTCCTTGTCTACAAAACCCCTTAAGGCAGTGATGTAGAATCAGACTTGCAGAGGAGCTGAAGTTGTTTAGAAAGAATGACATATGAACCCGTCAGTCCTGAGATGGGGAAGGGGGAACAAGTACTCCCATTATGTTAATCTTTTCTCCCCTCCTGGAGCCTACAGGAGTCTGGAAGGTGGACCATTTCCAATCAGGTAAATGGTGAGCGGGGAGAGTAAAACCTGTCTCTTCCCCAACATGGCAGCCCCAATCTATTCCCCTATCAATACCCATCCACCACTGTGCTTTCTGTAGCTCAGTTATACATCTGGGGATCTGAACACAGATCTGCGCAATTCTACATGGTTTGGCTCTTAAATGCACAAAAGGCTCTGGCCTGCAAAACAAGTCATCAAATGCAAGTAGTCTTTGACGCTTTCATAATTAGACAGTGCAAAGACAACTTAGCAGACTGTCAGGGAGTGGGAGGGTGAAGGGGTGGTAAAAGAAAAAAAGGAAGACACAAAGATTTCCCAGCCAATACATGTGGACAATTACCCAGTTTGTGGCAGTGCAGTAAAAGGCTGTATTACCATAGGCAGACTCCACCTGGCATTACACTGATCACATACTCATGTGTTTGGAAATGTTGAACGTGCTGAAGCTGTTACTTCCTTAGATGACTTTTCCAGGAGGCTCCTGTCAACACTATGATCTCCAGCCTGAATTTCAAAACATATTACTAAATGGATAGCAGAAGCAACTAAGTCATCCTCATACATATCACATGCAATTCACCCAAAAGCACAGTGCTGTTTACACAAGATGAGGTTCTCCCCAGCACCGGGGGAGGGGGAGAACTGGCAACAGCTCACACCAGCACCAATAGTAAGACTTCGCCCTGTGGACTACAGGCTTCACTGTACCTCTAAAAGATGCAATTAAAGCCCTGACTTACCCAACAGTGTAGAAACAGCCTCTACGCCTCCGTTATAGATCTCAGAGCTCCGAGAAGGCTGCACCAGTTCCCACAAGCCTTGAGTGTAGTTGATGACCTGAAAGTAGCCACAAGTCGACAGAGCCCACCACACGGACCAGCAGAGGAGAGGCTGTGAAGAGTAACATTGCAGGAAGTCCTTCCAGAGCTCTTTGATAACCTTGATTATGTCCATTTTTTGGCCCTGTGTATATTAAAAACACACACACACAATAATTCAAGCAGTCTTTCTACCCAAGTGTCACTAGCACACACAGCCAGTAGCTAGTACAATATAACAAACCTTCCATTTATTCGAGGAGTGACGACTGCCACACAGCAATGCCTCTGGTTCTCCCTATAAAACAAGAACCAAAAAGATAAGGAAAAAAACTTGGTGGAGGGCCCAACTAAAAATACATGCATTCATTTTAAAAAAGTTTAAAAAATATATAAGGGCCCAATAAAAGCCTCATTAACAATTACAAATGACAAGTACACAAGGAACAAATGGTTACATCATTACTTTCTGGACCACACGAAAGTAATACCACTTACCACCTGTGCATACGCACTGGACAGAGGATTTAATCTTAAGAGGCCTCATAAACATTCCTGTCCTGTGTCTATTAACTTTGTTTTGGAACATTCCTTCTTTGGTCCAGTACTGATATATTCTTTGTTATTTCTTTGTAACATGTGTCTATATGTACCTCATATTATTTGACCTCTGAAGAAGGCCTGATTGGGCCGAAACACGTTAGGTCACAATAATTGTTCCTTGTGTACTTGTCATTTGTAATTGTTAACAAGGCTTTTATTGGGCCCTTATATGTTTTTTAACCTTTCTCAAAATAAATGCATGTATTTTTACTTATAATAAGTTTATATGAGGTTTTAACTATTGGCCCTCCACCACCAGGATTTTTTTCTTTTTGGTTCTTTTATTGGGTTACGTTTCTTTCCCCCCTTTGGCTCTGTCTCCCCTATAAAACAGCCAACCCCCAACACACGACAAGCTAAACTGAAGGCCAACAATTCACATGATCAGTCTTTCTATCATTCTGATTTGCACTATGCCTTTGGCAGACAGTTTGTCAGATATAAATGTCATAAGCCCAAACCACAATTAGGTGATGCCATCATAGTTGTTGTATACAAAAGGCATAAGGTGGTATACAAAAGGCATAAGGTGGCAAATCTGAATCATTTGTCACTAGCACATTGACACGGTATGATCTGGATAGAAGGTAGGTCACAAAACAAACAAGTTACCCCCCTGAAAAACAAAACAAAATGCAAGTCTTTGAATCCAGAACAGATTTGATACAAAATTAGAACACATTTAAAGCAGCCCAAGTGAAACCTATATGCCTGTTTGTATTGCCCACTCTACCAGTTAAAACTCTCTTCCCCAGGCCTGCTTTCTGTGTCCCCCTTTACAGAGCTAAGGCAGCTGGCAACTAGAGACAGGGCTTTTTTAGTGGTGACCTCTCAAGGCTTGCCTGGCACCTACATTACACCCCTTCAGTAACAACCTTACTCTGAGGGCACACAGTACCAACTCTCAGAAGAGCTATCCCTGATGGAAGGGTAGTATCTGCCCTGGAACCCTTTTAACCCTGGCCCCCCTTTGCAGGCTCCAGGGATGGCAAGCTTATTTGCCACCACCTCGCCCTCTGTGACTTGTGCTAGAGGGATCTCTGCTTCCTCAGGTTCCTTCTCACTATTATAAAGGCTGTTGCCCCATAGCAGCTAAGTGAGACAAATCCCACTTACACAGGGATTTAATATGATGTGATGTAGGGAAGTCACAAGGAGGATACAACAAAATATGAACACTGTCTCTAGTCATATCTATAACTATGCTAACACATTCCTCCCTCTCCTTGTGGGGGGTAACGGATCTAAACCAACCATGGCCAGCCTCCAGCAACTGATTAAAAACCCCAACAATTTTTTCTCCAACCAGCACCAGGACTCTGCAGCAAAGGAATCTTCTCTGGCTACACCCACCACACAGGCCAAAATATTTATCTTTACCCAGACTTTCCACTAAGGGGATTCTCCTTTTTTAGCTGTTTTACGGTCTGCTCTGTGCATGAGGCCTGTTTTATCAGCTTTGTTTTATGAGATCAATATCATTTAAAACAGCTTGATTTGTTTTATGCCTGACGTGTTTATTAATCTTTTTTATGGATTTGTCTTTTTATTTCCTTGTTGGTGTTTTATTGTTGGAGCTCCCTCAATGATTCCTACAGGCTGGTGCCTGAAACAACCTTACTTTGAGCACGTACCCTGGCATCCAGCACCAGTGGACACAAATAAAATGCAATGCACAAATAAAATGCACAACTAAGATTAGAACAAATAAAATGCAATATTTTTGGTTTACAAAGCATCTGTTCCAAGTTATTTTGCCATACTGTTCTCACTTTTTGCCCTGTGCTCAAGCTGACGAGACGATTGGGTAGTCAGTCAGGGCAGACAGCAGTACATGGAACAGAATTATTTAAAAGCATTTTTGGGATGAAAATGGCCAGCAGTAGTTCCTGCCTTTGATCCACTTCCTCAAAGTGTTAGTCATCTGGGAAAACTGAGTCAGTCAACAGTTTGTTTATTGTTAGTAAACAGCGGGCAATCTGTCCTAACTAGAAACAGGAATAGCAGAGAATATGAAAGCAAATCCTCTAGACACATGATTTCCTCAGCTAATAATCTAGGTATTGAGACTTCTCCATGGAAACGGCATTCATGTTTCATAACAGCGTCTTAAAAGAATGGGTTTAACAGAATTAAACACTTGGTCTGGACAAAGGTAGAATGTTAGTGCTAAGAGCTGCACACCAGGTGGTTCTTACAGCCATGTTTTAGACCATATGTGAAAAAGGGGTGGAAATCAAACATTCGCATTCCCTTCTTAAATAAGAAACTGTGATAGTGTGCTACCAAACTTACCAGTACACAAATAAGATTAAATTAACAAACCAAATGATTTCAAGAGTTGATAACACTAATTCCAAACTATGTTCCCTCTAGCCAGGATGACAATATAAATCTTGAAAAAGCATAAACACAGAATCAGGGAAACAAAGCGTTGCTATAGACTGACATCTTTCTGCTTCATTAATGAGTTTTATAAACTGGTTTACTATACAAGATTAGAGAACATCTAAAAGACAAAGTGTCAGTGCTACAGATAGAACACTGAGGGGGGGGGGGAACTGAAAGAAACCACCATTTCTAGCAAACATTGTGTGTGGCATCACTGAAGCAAAAATGCGCTTGCCAATAATAAGCTAGCCACCTCCCATTAATTATATATAAATTAAGTGTGTGAATTAATTACAATCCTCCAGGTCATGACACAACAAGGCCTCTTTCTCTGGCCGACTTGCCACACCTGACTTAAGGTTTGTCCAGACAGCTCTACTTTTAAAGGATTCAGAGACATTTCTTGAACATGCTGCACTGAACTGAAAGCTGCTCAGCTAACTTATTCAGGTGTATGCTGTTTTTCCTCTGTACTCACAACAAGAATTTTTAATTCGCAACTACAACAGCCAACGTACATGCTGGGGGGGGTACTACCCCCTCCTTGAACTATATCACTCCAGAAAGCAGATTTGGGTTTGAAAGCTGTTTCTTATCAATAAGTCCCAAACAGGCTAGGGCGAAGACTAAACTCAGACTTTTGCCCAAGATGTGCTAGTTTTTAACGGGTGTTTCTCACCTTCCATATACAGGTCAAATATAATTCTCCCATTTGCCTACAGATGTTGTGTGGTTCCAATAAATCTATAGGACAGACTGCTCTTGAATGTGTGAATTAAGGTTGCAATCCTAAGAATAATTTTCCTGAGAGTAAGCCTCATTAAATAATAAGGGACTTACTTTTGAGTAACCCTGCTTTAGGCACCCTCCCTGAATCTAAAGGGAACAACTTCAAAGCTGAATGGGGGTTTTATGTTGGACTGCATGATTGCATTGCAATATCTAACAGCATGGGAAAGGCAGTGATCTCTCTCCAGTTGCCAAGAAAGTGCATCTCCTCAAAGACAAGGCCACCAGCTCTGCTTTATATAGCTCAAAGAAAATTAGTAAAAGGAAGTGCTATTATCCTCCCTCTGTCCCAACAAGAAAACTTCAAAAGGAGTAGGCTATATGTGAATGTCTGAAAAGGTAATCAGATTGAAACTGGTAACCCTAGGAAACAATGTCTCTCACTAATTTTCAGCCAAAAATAAGGCTATAGAATGGCACAGGAGTTTTGGTTCCAGTAGCAGCAAAATATTCAGTTACCTGAGTAGCTATATCTAGGGATATACGTTCAGTATAAACCAAACCGAATAAACACCCCAAAAATACCTTATCAGTATTTTTTTAGTATTTATTCAGCCAAATGCAGATTAGACAATCTGATTCGGCTACCAATATAGCTGACCGAATAAAAGTCAATATTATTGCGCTTTTAGTCGGGCCAGTTATATCACTGAGTCCTGCTGCCGCCTCTGCGGCAGCAAGGCTTGGAGAAGGCAGTCCCTTCATTTGTGGTGGCATGCTGTTGCCGTGGCATGACTCCAGGAGTGAAGGGAAGGCATTTTTAAATGACTGCCCTTCACTCTCTGAGTTACGCCATGGCAGCAGTGAAGGCATTTTTAAATGCCTAATAAGTTCCCGTTTTCTGATTATTTACCCAAAACTCAATACCACGGGTAGGGCGGGATATAAATCCCAAAATAAATAAATAAATAAATAAAAATATTGGGATTCGGGAATATCAGGAAATACCAATTTGAATATGAAAAAAGCTGATTTTTTTGGGCACACCCCTAATTATATCCACAAAATTTGTCCATCTCTCATATGGAGGGGGGTATATTCCTACATTCTGATAAAGTATAGTGGTCAGAACACTGGACAAGGATCTGGAAGACCCAGGTTTGAATCCCCCCTCTGCTGGGAGACCTTGGCCAGTGGTGGTTGTGAGGATAAAATGGAGGAAGACAGAATAATATTATAAGTCATTTTTGGGTCCCCAATGTAGAGAAAAATAACATAAATAAGACAGTCATATTCCCTAAAGCAATTTTTTTTTAAAGGTAGCTGCATTGGTGCTGTGCTTGCTTCAATATCCAAGTATGCCTTTCTGTAACACAAGTTCTTTGTACTATGAAAGTAGGTAGAACAAACGAGATATAGGTTTTATGGCACAACAACACAGCATTATTCTGTATATCACATGCCATCTCAGCCAACTGTCTCTGAGCTGTCGGTTAATGCGCACAAATTTTTCCTCTGTCAGCAAGTAGGTGATATTAGTTCCCATGGTCTTAAAAGCACAGCCATCCAATTAAA